GACCAAAATGAGTCAGCTGCCATACTAAAGATCAAGGAGAGTATGCAAGAAGAAGCAAAACGATTTGAAAAGGACGTTCCACCAGATCATCCAGACTACTTTATGCCGTGACGTGACCCCCTCCCATCCCCACTTTACCCTATGAACTAGCTCTCTCGGCTCCCTACAGAACCTGTGACATGGCAATGGGGTTGACCTCCCCCTCCTCCCCAGCTGCTGAGGATGTGTCAAAGCTTGGTAAAGAGGGCTAAGTGTGAGTGCAGAAACGTGGCAACAGTGTCTGCACATTGACAGTTTGCCACACTAATGGTGATGTGATTCTGTGTGCGGTGGAGTGACGATGGGACAATGGGTCCTCACAAACTCTTGAGGAACTGGCATCTCAGCCCTCAACACAGTTCTCATCAAGTGAATCAAAACGCAGAACTCCAGTGATGGAGTGCTATCCTACAGTGGAGTTTGATATAATGTGATTAGAAACACTAGTGATTTACCTTACAAAGTCTGGAAAGGCAGGATAAGCACTATAAGGAAATGACTTCATGTATGACTTCTTGCATAAACTATTTAAAAGAGAAGTGAAAAGATGGCTCTGATTTCTGCTGTTTGATGATAAGTCTGTTGTGTCATTCATTGTGCTTTCTATGTGAATCTTGTAGGAAACAAAATTACTATTAATATTATTTAATATGTTTTCTCAATTTCGCTCATTTAAAACCCAAGAACCATAACCTGAGCAGCAGAGTCAGGAGACTCGGGCAGCCGAGGGTAGGATGGAGATGTAGATATTTTCATAGACCGTCATTGCTCACGGGTGGTGTCCGGACGCCTCAACCGGTCAACCAGCGCTGCCCCGTCTCCTGGCTGGACCCTTGTAGGAGTGCCACAGTCTTCTCTGAGAGAACCCCAGTCCCAGGCACCAGCAGTCCCCCCTCACTACCACCAACATCGCCCTCGGACGTGCTCCTGGGATGGCCCGGGACGTGCCCCTTCCGACCCCAGGGTGAGGGCCCAGAGTCAGCTGGTTCCCCACTCATACAGGGCTCGGCACTCATGTACAAATCCCCCAGCCTGGGACCTTTGGGACCTTGGCACGTGATCTGCCCTCCACATGTGCAAAAGACAGCAATGTCTGTTCTCACTAGTATTACTCAGACTGTTCTGGCCTCAGGCCCAACTCATGTAATATCAGATGGGAAGTCTTTTATTCAGACTACTTTGTGTTAGCTTACCTACTGGACTGGAAGTCATGACCTGTCTCTATTCTGTACAGATCTATCCAAGTGTCGTAGATGTAGGAATAATTTATTATTTGTCATGTCCAAATCTATCTCTTTATCTTTCTTCTAGACTCCCTATGTTAAACCGTTTTAACCACAATGGCCACCTCACCCCCTCTGTCCATGATCCCACACCACCACTATTACCTATTTCACCACCACCACCTCCACCACTATCACCATGAACACCAAAACCACCACCTTGGGCCTTGCAGTGAGAATTACTTCACTGCTGCCCACTCAACCAGCGCCAAATGTAAATCACTGAAGTTCGCCAGGGATGCACTACCATCACCAGACTCGACCACCACCTGGGGTGTTGATGTCCTACACCATATACTTATATTTAGAATCATCCTGACTATAATTGTATCTTCACCAAATCTCTGCTATTCTGAGAGAATTTATAACTCAATGAGTGTGATACAGTGACCTGCTGTTAATTTATTGAATACTTGATTCTAATTTCATCTCACAGTACCTAGATAGCCACAAAACACTTCATAACCAAGTTGACCTCTATATAGGTTGGCTTCTCATATCCTTGGTTGACCTCTCATTATTAAGGTTAACTTCTCATAATACAGGTTTACCTCATTATGCAGGGTAACCTCTCATAAACTAGGTTGACCTTCTTAGTAAAAAATAAAAAAGCAAAAAAAAATAATCATGGCTTAGGTTAAATCACCATTTCATCAGTAACAAAGGGACACATGACCTGATTGATATACTGGCCATGACCCTGGGTGTATGTCGCTCTGGTGGTGCGACCGTGGCCTGGCTCATCTGCTGGGCCTTGCTTGGCCTAGCTTGTCTGCTGGGCCTAGCCTTTTTGCTAGGTCTAGCCTGTTTGCTAGGCTTGGCTCATCTGCTGGGCTCAGCGTGTTTACTGAGCCTGGCTTGTCTGTTCTGACCAAGATCCCCTGTACAGTAGAACATAGCAGATATATTATGTGTAGCAATTTTCAATAAAATGGCTAAGGCAATAAGAGAACCAAAGTTGACATTATCCTATTTGGTTGGGAAAATATTTCTAAAGAAGTTGATATTTACTTACATATTGATTATTGTCATTGTTTTTATGTGTACATGATGCTATTAAGTGTTCTAAGGTATAGGGTTCAGTACCAAATGAGATCTAAGTTTAGATGGTAGGTACTGAATTAAAATTAAATTACATCTTAAACAGTTTTCTTTTTCTTTTATGCAGTATTTGCTTCCGCTGCTGTTTTACGTCTTATCTATAATGATATATAATTATTGATAATTAATTCAGTTTCTATTGTGTATAGTACGTACAAGAAACAATCCAAAACAAATGAACATTACTATTTTACTTTCAGGTTGATGAAGAAATTAAGAAATTATGGATTTGAATAAAATACACATTTTCTACTGCATTTTTAATACTCATTCTGTGTCAACAGTAGGACCCAAACTTCTAATGAAACAGATATTATAATTAGAGAGAGAACGAGAGAGAAAAATCTGTTGGGCATACATTTTTCTTAATTATTATTCAATAAAGGTTTTATATATTATTCTATACACCTTCAATTTGTAGTAGATATCTAGAAATGTATCACTGAATTGTTAATGTTCTTTTACAAAAGCATTTTACTTCATGTTAGTTACTGAAGGAATTAACAATGATTTTATAAACTGACATTGTTTTATGGTTTGTTGAGAAAATATGGAAATTAAAGCAAATTTTACATACCTGTCTAATGAACACATTTCCAACACCTATACTATTTCTTTGATAATTATTATCGTTATTTTTATCACTTGTATTTATAATAATATAACGTTTTATAACTGTCCTCTTTCTTATCATCAGAACCTTTTTATTTCCATCCCTGTTATCATCATCATCATTATCCCTTCTTCATTTATATTACATTATTACTCTCATGACCATCGATCACTTCATGTATATATTTTCAGTTTATATCTTAAAAGTATTAAACATCTTGAAGCTTAAGATACATCGGCCAGGGTGAAAGATCGTCTTTAAAATTTCATGCCCTTTCGTAGATTTTTGTATTACCAGAAACAGGAATCACGTGTGAATTTCCATGTGTGAGATGAAGAGAGTTCATTGCGACAAATGTAAAAAAAAAAAAAAAAAAAAAAATGTAGATGTAATTTGACGCATTTCGATTCAAACTTCATTGTGAGCGGTGGAGATTTAATCGAAATGCGTCATCTGCATCCCATGTGCTGTAAAGTCCTGTGTTCACATTTGCACTTTTTTTTTTATTCAATATACGAATTTCCTTTAATATGTGTCCGTGTGTAGCCCTCTATGTTGGCAGAATTATTTAGATATGACTATTAAGTTTGCTGATAAACTATATCAGATTGATATAACAGCTGTGCGAATGTACACTGGTTTGAACAAGTACTGTGAATCCTGCAAAACACATGATGATGGTATAAATGTTTTTACATTACGCATATTATTGTCTGACCAATACTATGGAAATTATGCCTTTTTTCTGTCTCTAGCGAGGTATGCCCCCAGACCTCAGGGTTTTAGTGCTATGCCAACTATATGTTTCTTATTAACTACAAATAGGTTAAAGGTGGGGTTGGCCTCTGTATATTAACATGCTAATTTAGATCAATATTTGAAAAACTTTTCATTGTCAAGATTTATTATAGCACGCGCAGGCGCTAAACGGGCACCGATGATTAAACTGACACTCTAGGCTTCATCACACTTAGTTACATGTGTGGTAACTTTGTCTTGAACATGTCAAAACGACCAGATTGCAAGTGTATATGTTAAAATATATTGAAATTACGTGTCTCCGACCGAAAAATGTGTGTGTGCGGGTGCATGCGTACGTGCATGTGTGTGTGCGTGTGAGTATGGATGTAGGTATCCATGTGTGTATATTTTTATAATGGGATATGCTTTCGACATTTTTTTTTCCAGCGTTATGGAAAATCATTTAGATTATTATATCATACTAACGCGCATGTCTAAATATTGTAAAACAGGAATTCTAGCATAACTGTCGGACAGGCACTCATGCAGTCAGATCTAGGTTAATATAAATAGTACCAGTTAACAAAATCAAGGAGATAGCCGGTGTTTCCTGTACAGAAAAAGAAGTCATGTCTGGATGATACATCCTGCAGGAACTAATGTTTAAATAGATAAACCCTGTGATATCACCAAGCGCGTCGCTATTTATAACCATTTTCTGCGATAATTACACATGGTGCCTTGATGGCACCGTTTCTGTTTCCCACACGCACGCGCGCGCGGGCACACACACACACACACACACACACACACACACACACACACACACACACACACACACACACACACACACACACACACACACACACACACACACACACACACACACACACACACACACACACACACACACACACACACACACACACACACACACATGCAGTACTAGCCCTTATACAATATGCCATAGTTTCATGATGGCCTATAAAACTGTAGTTGATTTCTGTTTGATTTTCTCTTAGTTTTACACTAAGTAAACCTTATACTATCGTGAGTTTATTTTCCTTTCTCAGACAATATTTTAATGACATTTGTTATAAAGGTCGATGCCAATAGCCGCAGCATAAAAGCAAAGTGCAGTTAATGTAATCGAATAGTATTACTGCATCGGGATATGCTGGAGTCAAGACGTTCACTGTTTTAAAGAGTATCTGGCACTACCTGGAGACTCGGCTGCCCAAGGGAGGAAGCCAAATACCTGTGCCATTTGCGAAACTGGAGAAACTGGAACTCGATTGAATTTCAAATATATTACAGAGTCCGTGTTTCAGGCCGAGCTTCGATAAATAGGCTTTAACAACAGACACTCATTTAATTGTCGATGGCAGTTTGTATGTAGGAAGTTGCCAGTAAGTACAGATTTTATATTTTCCAAATACTTTGCCATTTGGGCGATGCGGCTAAAGTTCGATCAGCTCATGGTTTTCTCCTCAGAGCGAAAAGAAGTGAAGTAGATGAGGATTTGTTTCGAAAGGGATAACGAAAGCTGATCCAGGGAAGAGGAATAGGGTAAAATATCTGGATAATTTGGTAAAGAGCGGTATGCGTTTTAGTTAAACATTCCTATGAAAAAAGGCTAGAATGCCAACTCTTGACTATATGATATTTACGAAATACATTTCTTCTTACGATGTTATAAGAAATCAGAAGGAAGGAGCTTAGATAGCGAGAATCGAAATCAGAAAAAAAAAATCGTGAGACTGTGATACCGTGAATCCTCCGACCCCATTACCTGACAGTTCATTTCTTTCGTGAAATCTGTTGGGAGATAGAACAAGATTTTGGCTAAAGTGTATTTTATATTACAGAAAATCGTCCAAACATCGTCGTAAGAAAGAGCATATATTGAGTCATTTTGACTTAAACTACGGACTCTACTCTCTTCTTGTGTTCGAGAGCAAAGCATTTTTATACTAAAGATAAAAAAAATGATCATCCCCATTTTGCTGAACAATCGCTTGCATGATTTATTTTATGGTAGTACTTTAGAGGGGTTGATGTGCGAGTTACGAGGATATATCAGCCTCTCTCTCTCTCTCATTCATTCATTCATACTTTCTCTCTCTCTCTCTCTCTCTCTCTCTCTCTCTCTCTCTCTCTCTCTCTCTCTCTCTCTCTCTCTCTCTCTCTCTCTCTCACTCACTCACTCACTCATTCACTCTCTTTCACTCGCTTTCTCTTTTTCTTTCCCTCTCACTCTCTCAACTCTCTCTCTCTGTCAACCTCTAGCATTTTATGCTTCATGCTTTGCTGAGCATATTTCTTACGAGGAATCGTAACGGCAACCTATCATCCCTTATATTGTTGAATTTCATTATTTCTGCATGGCGTTTGCCTACCTTTATAAAGAGTGTTTCTTGTCCTTTACGTGCTGTCTTGCCATCAGTACTCATAAAGATAAATATTGTTTATATACCCAACTTCTCGTATAACATTATTCCACATTTTGATGCGTGCGGCTTGAGTGACTTCACCCCGGCGACAGCACCTTTGTTTGTGTGGCTGAGACATGTAGATCACGTTTCCACACGGACGGTTGCAGCAGCTGTATTGAACGTGAGCCTTTTGGGATGTGCAGCGGCATAGAACAATGCTTGACTCCTGCAAACCTCACGACAATAACTTTCTTGAGGACTGCCATGCACGGGCAAGCTAATCTTTTCAGTCTTACGTGTGTACTTGTCTTTGATCTCGTGTGTTTCCCATGCGAGAATCCGGGGCAAAGGGGGCGCTGGGAGCTACTTGTGGTCCGCGAAATGGTTTCTCCGTCGATTTTTCTACGTAGTGGATAAGCACATATTCACAAGGTTTCGAAAAGATTAAATAGTTATACTGCAATTGTATACCACTATTGTCTGACATGTCACACTTGGCTATATCCTATTGTAACCAAGGATTAGAGATCCCAATCATATTTTCGTAGACCTGCAGTATTTTCCGCGGAAGAGCGAGGTCGAAGGCGATTGATGATGTAGCGGACAATGGTGTTGGATAGAAAAAAAACAAAACAAAACAGTTCTTTGGCTTTATGACTGACTACTGATCGCTTAACTTGGCACCCATGACCTTGTCTTCACTTAGTTCAAAACTTTTTGGTAAGTTTGTGAATGTTTAGATTATTTATTAGTACGGCATATTGGAAGTGTGAATTATAACGCATTTTTTTAAACATTCCATTCTATCAGCAATAATAGTAGTAGAGGTGGTAGTAATGGTAATGATCATAATAATAATAATAACGATAACTAATAATAATAATTAAAAATAATAATTAACAATAATAATAATAATAATAATAATAATAACAATAATAATAACAATAATAAATAATAATAATAAATAATAATAAATAACAATAATAATAATAATAATAATAATAATAATAATAATAATAATAATAATAATAATAACAGCAACAACAACAGCAGCAACAGCAG